TATGGGATATACAGTATACCACACAAGTTCACGTGCTGATATTCAATATTTAAAGGGACAGTTCACTGTTAAGGACAATTATTCTTTATTTGTGTGCACAATTCATGTAGAGCATTGGTTATGTGCAGTTTATGGAGTCCTATATGTATGCATTGATTAGACGTCTGATATAGCACACATTGATTTTCACAAGCATTGTCGTTTGTTTTTGCACATATTTATTGTTTAGCACTATAATATGTATATATATATTGTTGCGCTGCATTTTTCTATTTGTTTGTTTATGTTGTACATGTGGGATCACATTATATGCTAGCCGCACAAGTTTTTTAGGAGGTCCATAGTGCTGAGGGTTTTCTATACACAATATTGTCACAAGCCCTATTATTTCATAAAGAAACTTCTTTAAAGACATTTATTTATGAACTAATAGGATAATTACATTATTTATTTGTATTATTTAATATATTTGGACAGTGCTGCACTAATTTTGGATTGTTTGGACTGTGCACACATTATATGGGAATGTGTTAGAGTGCTGGCAGCTGTTTACTAAAGGGTATCCAAAGCAGCTCACAAGACACAAAAACTTGGTAATTCTTTTACAGTCCAACTGCTCTTTAAATGAACCCTGTATGCCTAATGGAGCCTTCCTGAGAGACCGTTTTGTTAGTGGTCTTATCAGGTTTTGGCTGAGGGATTCTTTACAGTCTCAGGAAGGCTGCATTAGGCATACAGGGTTCATTTAAAAGTGGCTGGAACTGTAGAAGAATTACCAAGTTTTTATGCAACTTGTGAGCGGCTTTAGATACTCTCACATATAATGTGTGCAAAGTCCAAACAATCCAAAATTAGTGCAGCGCTGTTCAAATATATCAAATAAACCAAATAATATTGTCACAAGTCCTATTAGTTCATAAAGAAACGTCTTTAAAGACATTTCTTTATGAACTAGTACAATAATGACATTATAATTTGTATTATTTAATATATTTGGACAGTGGTGCACTAATTTTTGGATTGTTTGGACTATGCACACAATATATGGGAGTGTGTTAGGGTTCATGTTCAGTGCAGCTGATTAACTCATGTTTAGGAGCTGTTCAATGTTTTTTTCAGCAGCCCCTGAAATCACCCTAATGTTTTCCTATGTGTCCATGTACACATCTTCGTTTGCAGCCCTTTACAGGCATTTGAGTTTATAGTCGTTTTTTTGAACGCAGAAAACTTGCGTTCAGCAGTCGATTTTATCAGCGTCTCAAATGCAAAACGCATGTAAACGCGTCAAATCGCGTTTATAAGGGTTTACGTTTGAAATTTTTTTTTTAACTCTTCCAGTTCCCGATGCTGTCCAGAGCCTTTTTTCATCAGGAAAAATGCATGCAAAGCGTTTTCAAGGTACTCAAATGGTCAAAACACTAAACACAGGATGTTCCTACCAAGCTTTTCACACATGGTAATGACCAATTCACACCTCAGACCTCTCCCACCCTTGGAAACAAAACATATGTTAATGCCCATTCACACCTCAAATTCCTCATGAAGACCCCCTGCCAGGTGGCCTTAATGACTTACTCCACCAGACACCTTTCCCACCCTTGGAAACAAAAGAAATGTTAATGAGCAACTCACACCTAAGCTAATCTCAACACATACTGCTGGCTCTGCTTCTACTCTCTGTATTTCTCTGAAATAGTTAATAATTTACCACTTTCAGTGCATTCTGGGCATGTGGGAGGTTCTCCTGTGCTTATCTTTAAAAAACGCTTCTAAACGCAAACGCGCATAAGCACGTAATGCAAACGCAGCTAAACAGACATTTTTTAACCTACGTTTTCCAGCAGTCAGTTGCCGTCGTTCAGAAGTGTCCCGTGTACATGGGGCCTTAAAGTGCTGGCAGCTGTTTACTAAAGGGTATCCCAAGCAGCTCACAAGACACAAAAACTTTTAATTCTTTTACAGTCCAGGCACTCTTAAATGAACCCTGTATACCTATTACAGCCTTCCTGAGACTGTAAAGAATCCCTCAGCCAAAACCTGATAAGGTTATAGAATACGTGTGCAAGAGCACTATACACACAGCGGGTAAAATAAGTATTGAACACATCACCCTTTTTCTAGGTAAATATATTTCTAAAGGTGCTATTGACATGAAATTTCACCATGTTGTCGGTAACAACACATGCAATCCATACATACAAAGAAACCAAAACAAATATATTCAGAAATTAAGTTATGTGTAATAAAATGGAATGTAACAGGGAAAAAGTATTGAACACGCTAACTGAAATTTATTTAATAATTAGTACTAAATCCTTGGTTGGTAAGGACAGTTTCAAGATGCCTCCAGTATGGAGAAGCTAGTCGCATGCATTGCTCAGGTGTAATTTTGGCCCATTCTTCCACACGGTCTTCAAATCTTGAAAGTTCTGTGGGCCTCTTCTATGAACTCTGATCTTTAGTTCTTTCCAAAAATCTTCTATTGGATTCAAGTCAGGTGATTGGCTGGGCCATTGTAGCAGCTTTATTTTCTTGCTTTCTTTGAAACCAGTTGAGCATTTCCTTTACTTTTTGTGTCTGGAACCATTGTCTTGCTGAAATGTCCACCCTTGTTTCATCTTCATCGTCCTGATAGATGGCAGCAGATTGTTATCAAGAATGTCTTTGTACCTTTTTTCTATTCATCCCTCCCTCAATGATATGACATTAGCCAGTATCGTATGCTGAAAAACAGTCCCACACCATGATGTTCCCACCTCCATGCTTCACTGTTGGTATGGTGTTTTTGGGGTGATGTGCAGTGCCATTTGACTTCCAAACATGATGTGTATTATGTTATCCAAAGAGTTAAATTTTGGTCTCATCTGACCAGACTATATTATCCCAGTGCTTGTCTAAATGTTGTGCAGCAAACTTTAAACGAGCTTCAACGTGCTTTTTCTTCAGCAATGGAGTCTTACGAGGTGAGAGTGCATACAGGCCATGGCGGTTGAGTGCATTACTTCTTGTTTTTTTAAACAACTGGACCTGCTAATTTCAGATCTTTCTGAAGCTCTCCACAAGTGGTGATTGGCTCTTGAACAACTCTTCTAATAATTATTTTCACTCCTGTCAGAAATCTTGTGAGGAACACCTGGTCGTGGTTGGTTTTATAGAGAAATGATGTTCTTCACACATCAGGATTATGGCCCCAACAGTGCTCACTGGAACATTCAGAAGTTCAGAAATCCTTCTGTGACCAACGCCATCAGTATGATTTGCAACATTAAGGTTGCGAAGGTCTTGAGAGAGCTCTTTGCTTTTACCCATCATGAGATGTTTCTTGTGTGATACCTTGGTAATGAGACACCTTTTTTATAGGCCATCAGTTGAGACTGAACCAGCTGATAATTTTCACTGACAAAGGGCAGGATTGCTTTCTAATTACTGATAAATTTCAGCTGGTGTCTTGGTTTTCCATGCCTTTTTGCACCTCCCTTTCTTCATGTGTTCAATAATTTTTCCCTGTGTTATTCCATTTTATTTCACATAACTTCATTTCTGAACTTATTTGTTTTGGTTTCTTTGTATGAGTGTATTGCATGACTTGTTAGCTACATGTGGTGAAAATTTCATGTCAATAGCACCTTTAGAAATACGCTTACTGAGAAAAATGGTGATGTGTTCAATGCTTATTTTATCCGCTGTATGTCATAGTATAAAATATCCTGGTAATTAATATTGCTACTATAACACCATTTTTTTTTTACTGACTACTAGACTTCTTTCAGAAATTGCTTGCTGTGTTGGTGGAATGGGTAGAAAGGTTTAGAATTTAGTTCCTGAACTATCATATGCTGAAAAGAGTTACTATGGATAGATTATCTAGCTGGAACTTTCAGTCTAGGTCAGTGGTCTCCAAACTGCGGCCCAAAGGCCGGATGTGGCCCTTTAATAGCCTTTATCTGGCCCTTGGGGCACTATTCCTAACACTGACACCAAAAGTGGGGGATAATTCGCCCAAATGACAGCACCAATGGGACACTATTCTTCCCGCTAATATCAATGATGGAGCCCTATTCCATCTACTAACATCAATGATGGGCCAATATTCCTTCCAGTGATAGTAATGATGGGGCACTACTCCTCCTCCTAGTGACCACAGGCACTATGCAACTGAACACCCCACCTGAGACCTTGTTTACTCTTACTGATGTTGACCCTGAGACTTTTTCTTTCCCCGCTGGCCACAATCCGGCCCCCCTAAAGTCTGAAGGACAGTAAACTAGCTCTTTGCTTGGGAAATTTGGAGATCCCTGGTCTAGGTTCACACCTATGCAGGTTGCGTTTGCGGCATTTGTGCATAGCGTTTTTGATGGGTTTTGAGGTTTTTTTTTTTCTAAGCAGATGCAAAACACGGCAAAAACGCAATCCATGCTTTTCTGCAGCGTTTGCATTGAAGTCTATAGAACCAGAAACACATGTTTTTGCGTTCAAAAAAGTCTCTGACCCTTTCCAAAAAACGCATCGGTTGAAAATGCAGAGATGTGAATCTGTCCCATAGCAAATCATGTTAAATGGACTGTAGTGCGTTTCTGCAAAATGCGGCAAAAAAATGCATAGGTGTGAACCTATTGTACGGTTGAAAGCGAATTCCGTGCACTCCCTTTCCTGGTAACTTATATCCACAGCACTGGGCCCTAGTAGTGTACTGCCTATGCTAGCAGCCTATCCTTGATTTAGGCATACTTTATGTTAAGATCATATTTTGTGTATTGTCAGTTCACAGCGTACACTGCCAGGGGGAAACATTTTGCTATGGGGTGTCATGGGCTGAAGGTCTGCTTCTGATACTGACGTTTCTGCAGAAAGAAGTCTTGCACAGCCAGGAAAAGCCTTTCCTGGGAATTTATTGAAAAAATGTGCTGTATTCTTTTTTTTTGGGATCCTAGGTGAAGATTGTATTTATTTCATACACTTTGTAGGAACATTGATTATAAACACATGGCGGTTTCTTCTAGGCAGCTTGTGTCACCCACTTTGAAAGGCCCCGGCATCATTGCCCATTACCGGATAGGAGATCTGGGACTGGTGCCGAGACAAGACACCTCTGGTGCTGTGCTCAGAAAAAATCGGAATGCTTTCTAGAACCACAAGACTTGGGCCTATACAAGCAAACCCAGGCATAGCAAAGGTAGGACCCAATATATGATCTTCATATTCGTTGTCTACATCCATGTGTATAATCATAAAGAAATAGTCATGGAATATCTTGTACCCCAAAAAGCTCTGATCACCAGGATGAAAATACAAGTCATTATTTTAACCTGTCATTTAGTGACAATCATGAAAAAGATGCCATGAATGTATTTGTTCTTCTTTTAGGACCTGCTATCAATGAACCAAGAGGCCAATCTACCCAAACAAAGTGCATTACCAGCAATCCCTTCCACAACTGGCAGCAAGCCAATTCTGATATGATTTTGATAGATATACAATAAAGCTCATAAGGAATTAACGATAAGTGGAGGATTTGTTTGACAACAGATATTATCATATGGCAGGTTACCAAGGGATAAACAGACTAGAAATGGGGTTATATATGGGAAATGACTATCTACCTCACCATACAGTGGATATAAAAAGTCTACACACCCCTGTTAAAATGTCAGGTTTCTGTGATGTAAAAAAAAGAGACAAAGATAAATAATTTCAGTACTTTTTCCACCTTTTAATGTGACCTAAAAACTGTACAACTCATAATATGGTTGCATAAATGTGCACACCGTTAAAAGAATACTTTGTTGGAGCACCTTTTTGATTTGATTTGATTCCAGCACACTCTTTTGGGGTATGAGTCTATCAGCATGGCACATCTTGACTTGGCAATATTTGCCCACTCTTCCATTCAAACACACTCCAAATCTGTCAGATTACGAGAGCATCTCCTGTGCACAGCCCCCTTCAGATCACCCCACAGATTTTCCATCGGATTCAGGTCTGGGCTCTGGCTGGGCCATTCCAAAACTGTCATCTTCTTCTGGTGAAGCCATTCCTTTGTTGATTTGGATGTATGCTTTGGGCCGTTGTCATGCTGAGAGATGAAGTTCCCCTTTATGTTCAGATTTCTAGCAGAAGCCTGAAAGTTTTGTGCCAATATTGACTGGTATTTGGAACTGTTCATAATTGCCTGTACCTTGACTAAGGCCCCAGTTCCAGCGGAAAGAAAACAGCCCCAAAGCATGATGCTGCCACCGCCATGCTTCACTGTGGGTATGGTGTTCCTTTGGTGATGTGCAGTGTTGTTTTTGTGCCAAGCATATCTTTTGGAGTTATAGCCAAAAAGTTCAAACTTGGTTTCATCAGACCATAACATGTTTTCCCACATGCCTTTGGGAGATTTCAGATGTGTTTTTACAAAATTTAGTTGGGCTTGGATGTTTTTCTTCACTCTACCCCACAGCCCAGACACATGAAGAATACAGGAGATTGTTGTCACATGTTCCACACAGCCAGTACTTGCAAGATATTCCTGCAGCTCCTTTCATGTTGCTGTAGGCCTCTTGGCAACCTCCCAGACCAGTTTTCTTCTTGTCTTTTCACCAAATTTTGGAGGGTCGTCCAGACCTTGGTAATGTCACTGTTCCGCCATATTTTTCTCCACTTGATGATGACTGTCTTCACTGTGTTCCATGGTATATCTAATGCCTTGGAAATTATTTGTACCCTTCTCCTGACTGGTACTTTTTAGCAATGAGATCCTTCTTTTTTCTTAATATCTTTTACTAAATTGTTTCAATACAAAAAGAGTATTTAATGCACTCAAGAATAAAAAGAACTTCACCAATACATAAATTCCATTTGCATCATCTTATCCGCTGCCCAACCCTTCCTCCCACCCTCCAATTAACCCAGTCCATATCCAAATTCCTAGTTTATATCCTTTCTCATGATTAACTATCTACAGTGAAGGAAATAAGTATTTGCTCCCCTGCTGATTTTGAATGTTTTCCCACTCACAAAGAAATAGTCTAAAAATCGAATGGTAGGTGTATTGTAACACTGAGAGACAGAATAGCAACAAAAAATTCAAAAGAAATGCATGTCTAACAAATGATGCACGGATTTGCCTGTTCATGAGGGAAATAAGTATTTGATCCCCTATCATTCAGCAGGATTTCTGGCTATCAGGTGTCTTTCATACAGCTAACAAGCTGAGATTAGAAGCAGTCTCTTAAAGGGAGTGTTGCTAATCTCATTTTGTTACCTGTACAAAAGACACCTGTTCACAGGAGCAATCAGATTCCAAACTCTCCACCATGGCAAAGACCAAAGAGCTGTCCAAGGATGTCAGGGACAAGATTGTAGACCTACACAAGGCTGGACTGGGCTACAAAACTATCGCCAAGCAGCTTGGTGAGAAGATGACAACAGTTGGTGCAATCATTCGCAAATGGAAGAAACACAAAACAACTGTCAGTCTCCCTAGGTTGGTGCACCATGCAAGATCTCACCTCGTGGAGTGTCAATGATCATGAGAACAGTGAGGAATCATCCGAGAACTACATGTGAGGATCTTGTCAATGATCTCCAGGTAGCTGGGACCACAGTCACCAAGAAAACAATTGGTAACACACTACGCCGACAAGGACTGAAATCCTGCAGTGCCTGCAACGTCCCTCTGCTCAAGAAAGCACATGTCCAGGCCCGTCTGAAGTTTGCCACTGAACATTTGAATGATGCAGAGGAGGACTGGTTGAAAGTGTTGTGGTCAGATGAGACCAAAATTGAGTTCTTTGGCATCAACTCAACTCGCCGTGTTTGGAGGAGGAGGAATGCTGCCTATGACCCCAAAAACACCATCCCAACTGTCAAACATGGTGGTGGAAACATTCTGCTTTGGGGGTGTTTTTCTGCTAAGGGGACAGGACAACTGCACTGCATCAAAGGGACGATGGACGGGGCAATGTACCGTCAAATCTTGGGTGAGAACCTTCTTCCTTCAGCCAGGGCATTGAAAATGGGTCGTGTATGGGTGTTCCAGCATGACAATGACCCAAAACACACGGCCAAGGCAACAAAGGTGTGGCTCAAGAAGAAGCACATTAAGGTCCTGGAGTGGCCTAGCCAGTCTCCAGACCTTAATCCGATTGAAAATCTCTGTGGAGGGAGCTGAAAATTCGAGTTTCCAAACGTCAGCCACCAAACCTTAATGACTTGAAGAGGATCTGCCAAGAGGAGTGGGCCAAAATCCCTCCTGAGATGTGTGCAAACCTGGCAGCCAACTACAGGAAGCATATGACCTCTGTGATTGCCAACAAGGGATTTGCCACCAAGTACTAAGTCATGTTTTGTGAAGGGAATCAAATACTTATTTCCCTCATGAACATGCAAATCAGTGCATAATTTGTTAGACATGCATTTCTTTTGAATTTTTAGTTGCTATTCCGTTTCTCAGTGTTATAATACAACTACCATTCGATTTTTAGACTGAACAGTTCTTTGTGAGTGGGCAAACATTTAAAATCAGCAGGGGATCAAATACTTATTTCCTTCACTGTAGCAACCTCTGACTCTCTCGTGGCCGGTTCACACCATAAATTGCACAGGAACATGCAATCAGAGTGCAGTGTGATTTTAAAATATTCATTTGAATGGGTTGAAATCATGCCAGACAGCAGCAAAAGTAGTGTATACTCTACTTTATAAAATGTAGAGCACCTAGATCATCGAATCTACTGAACCGTGCAATCAGGTGCAGGCAAATGCACTGCATTTGGGACCTGCGTTTGGGGGGGTCATTACATTAACTGCAATGCATTTAAAATGCACAGGGAATGCTGGTTTCCCACACCGTATTCTGATGTGATCTGGTCCTTAGTACAGGTTTCCTTTAACCAGTTTCCAACTGCGCTATAGCCGAAGGATGGCTACACTGTGTTTGTGTAGTTCTGGAATGACGTCCATGAATGTCAATCCAGAACACGCCCCCCTGCTTGCATGTGGCGCCACCGGTGATCGCTGTGTCCTACAGCCACAGCTGATCATGTGATACGGTAAATGCCCAATCACGGTGGCCTTTTACCACGTGATCAGCTGTGTCCAATGACACAGCAGATCACCGGGTACATACAGTTGCCGGTTATTGCCTGCCCTTTCCTCACGCTGATACAGCGTGAGGAAAGTATTGCTGAGAACCGGCAATTGTCAGCGAAGGGATCGGCACTGATGATCAGTGCCCAGCAGTGCCGCCCATCAGTGCAACATCATCAGTGCCGCGATCCGTGCCACCTCATCAGTGCTGCCTATCAGTGCAGCCTCATCAACGCACATCAGTGATGGAGAAAAATTACCTGTTTGCAAATTTTATAATAGAAACAAAGAAAAACTTTTTTTTTTTTGCTCTTTTTTTTGTTTATAGTGCAAAAAATAAAACCCCCCAGTGGCAATTAATTACCACCAAAAGAAAGCTCTCTTTGTGTGAAAAAAAATGATAAAAATTTCATATGGGTACAATGTTGCATGACAGCGACAGAGCTGAAATTGGCCTGGGCAGTAAGGGGGTATAAGTGCTCGGTAGGCAAGTGGTTAATGGCAAAAAAAAAAACCACATCATTCAAAGTGTTGTATTTCAATGTTTTTTTTTTTTATTATGGTGAAACAGTCTTAAAATGACCATTTGAATAATGTGATCTGAACGAATGTCAGAAAACTTAAAGTGGCTCAGTCTCTGCATTATGAGTCATGAACACGTTCTGCTTTGTAATACGTTTAAATAGAATTTACAATATCATCATTCTTGATTCACAGTCACAAACTAATTCTCTCCAATTACTAGCTACATAGTGCTGGATATACAAACCTAGGCAAAACCAAAAAAGGGTTATGAACAAATTATTTGAGTCAAATTTGAAAACATTTCAAAATAAAACCAAGTCAGCTAAAAGTATTGATTTGTATGCGCCTCACTGCAACTTTCTTGCCTTAATTGAACATATTTGATTGCACAATTGCTTTTTATCTGACAAAGCTGTGGAATAATCTCTGTGACCTTAAAGCCCAGGTTCACCTTTTGGACCTTGTTATTTCCAAATTTAGGTTGTAACATGCAACCTGGAAACATAAGTGACCCCAAAAAACAATCAGCAAATACACCCTTAGGCCGCTTTCACAGGAAGGGTCTGATCAGCTCCGCCTATTAGTGTTTCAGGTGTACCTGATCAGACAGTCCATTCACCTCTATAGACTGGGAGGTGTAAATGGACTAAAGAGTGGGCTCTGTTTGTGTCCTCTTTGCAGAAACTGAGCAGACACAGATCTGTCATCTGCCCGCTATGCTCCACTCAACGGGATCAGCGGAAAATCCTATCCTGAAGTAAACCGTGTCTGCCCTATGCAAAAGGAGCCTTATTAGAACTGCAGGGTGCTTCCTCAGCCTCATTCTGTTGTTTTGAAATTTGCGTGGCTGCGTCCATATATTC